ACTAATATGAACTAATATACATTTTGGGTTACAAAATTACTACTTTCGCAACTGCACTCGTGTAAAATGTTATTATGTTCTGATACATACATCTTATTATTTTAATTACATGCCTCTTTGATAAATATTTCAGAAGTATAATATTTGTAATATATAACATATAATCTGTCACTTTTTTACACTTTTATAGTGCAATAGGAAATACACCATCAATAGAAACTAGTGAAACTGATACAGCAGGTGTCTCAATAACCAGAAGAAGTTCATCTGGTGGATTGTTGTCGCCGGAAGTTGAATTAGGAGGTAAATACAGTAATATTTGATTATTGAAAAACTCAAAATCACACGTTGTTTGTCCACCTAAAATCACTATGTGTGATACATTTGTATTTAATTAAATTTGAAATAATAGGACAACCAGGACAAAAATCTGGAGAGGAACAAGAGGGCTTTTATTTGTTAAAAAAGGACAGTCAGAGGCGCATGACGTTAACGAGAGTTCTCAACCAAGACGAGGCGAAAATTTGTGAAGTATGGATGAGAGGTATACATCAAGCAGAGGGACAAACAATGTTGCAAATGGTATCTATACATAACATTACATCGCGTTTCACGCAGCTGTCACAGTGTACATTTAATTATTTATTAAAATTTCAGAGTCACTTAGTATTGCTGATGCGCGGTTTGAGGGATTACATCGCGGAGCAAAATCAGGAAGTGATAGTAACCGCTATTCGAACATTGAAGGAAGAGCTAGATTTTGACTCTACCGCTATCAATCACCTACACTTGGCTATTTATTTATTTCAAACGGCAGTGAATGAAGTCCTCCGAATGCACAGTATAAAGCCGCATTGGATGTTTGCTTTGGATAATTTAGTGAGAAACGCTGTCCAAGCTGCTATCACCGTATTATCTCCCGGTAAGTATTGTTTTTCTTAATGAACTAAAAATATGGGAAAGCGGTACAGTTGCGTCTAATAAGTTGTTCACACGTTCGGGAGATAGCAATGGACACTAAAAGTTAAGAGTGCCAAATTTCTCGGATGTCGAAGAAAGTGTTTTGCTTAACTGATTCTCAGATCCGATTCTCACATTTGTATATTATTTAGTACACGAACCAGATGTTATAACGTACGCATGTATCTCAAGTGTGATACACGTGGAGATTGAGTATGTTATCGTGTCAACTCTAAATATATCTCGAAAGTCATCACCAATAATAAAAGGGACCTCTTGTGAACGTCATGTTCAGTAAGAGGGTCACCGCATCTCACTTGAGTTCACATATCCGTTTTAAGATTTTATTGAAAATTAGTTAGACATATTTATTGACATACACATCCAAATGTCATCAGAGTGTAAAGATTGGCTTATATGGAATGTGTTTTGTGTTATAAATCATGTGCTTAGAATTGGGAGCTAATTTACTTGGACAAGAACGGGTACAACCTGGCGGGCAAGGCCCCGAGGAAGGCTCAACGTCTGGCGTATCAACGGTGAATTCTGTGAAGTCCCAAAAAACCGCTGATTCTATTGATATTAAATATTGGAAAGAGTACAGGGATCAAATGGGAGCGCTAAAGATGGAAAACATGAAGTTACTTCAGGAATTGATAGAGAGCCAAAAATCATACCAGATATTATTGCAACAAGCTCTTGAAGAACAAAGAGTGCAAGTTAACACACTGACACATTTATGCGAGAATATGAACAGGAGAGCCGCGAGACAGGAATCAGGGTACGAATTATTTTATTATACATTGTATAACAAATATTAATATAATAACATTATATGTACAAGTCTTTATAAATGTAAAAGTACATTTTACATGTAATTTTCGCAGTTACAATTCTTGCATTTCTGGAAATGTATCTCAACAACTAGGATCCTTAACGTCCGATACGCAACACAATACTGCTCTGCATATAGATTCGGATCTTGTGAATTGGTTACGAAATCTCCAAATAGATGAAACATCAATTGATAGGGTAAGTATTCGACGAATATTCGAAATGAGCAGCAAAATAAAAATCTTTCATATTTTTAGCTCGTATGCGAAGAATATACACTGGAAGATATTTTGCATCATGTTACACGAGACGATCTTCGCAGATTAAACTTAAGGTAAAAAATAGTGCTTTCTAGTATATTTAATATTATATTAATGAAGTAAATAGAAGATAAATATTTTACGCACGATTCTAGGGGAGGAATCGAACTCAGGATATGGCAAGCTATACTGAAATATCGGGAAAATAATGGAAATTAAATTGTAATGATTACAATTGCACAAATTTCCATCATTGTTAGTGATAGAATGTCACTAGTAGCTGAAAGCAGGTTAAGATATTTGTTTTGTAAGCCTGTCACAGAATGACGATATAAATCGGCTATAACGCTATACTGGATATAAATCAAATTGTTCGATAGAGAGTTTCTTCCGTGACACAATACAATAATGATATTATTGGTTTATTTCGTAGTTCCTACATGTAGATTAATATTAATCTTTGCAGAGCAATTGTATATTATATTAAATCCGTGTATGATGATTTATGTTAATAGGAATAGTGTTTTTATGAAAGATTTTAATTACTTTGCCAAAGTTCTATTATGTCAGAACATAAGGAATCAATATTTGTGCACAGAATGTATTTCACATGTTACATTTTCTTATAATATAAATTTCTCTGTTTTGGTTTTTACATCAAATTTTGGAAAATTGAGTTAAATTTCGAGAACAATTGCTTTTATTCTGGATGAATAAATCTAAAGATAAAGGTATAACAAAAAAATGACAAAGAGATTATAGATATGAATAATATGCAATATTTTATTCTAAAGCAATATAATGTCTCTCACGTACAACAGAAGTAACAAACGCTTCCAATAACACAACTGATGCAATTTATATACCAATTTTGTTGCAAGATATAGGTATATATTTCTTAAAAATTTACTGCCACAACGCAAAAGCAATCAAGAGGCATCTATATTTTCATATAGAAGCACAAGTTTACGTAACATTTGTTTATTGATCTAACAAAAGTTACGTAACATTTCACTTATACATTTGCAAAACAAAGATGCAACTATTTATAGTGCCTTACGAAACTTGTTCTAGTGCAAGAAAAGAAAAAATATTTATTATATGAAATAAATATGTGTAGTCGTATCATTCGCATGCGATAAGTGTGAAATATTTGCCGTTGAAATCACGTGCTTTTGAAAGGCAAAATTTTACGTTGATATTTGCAGTATCAAAACATTAATCGAATATTTTTGTGTCGATATTTATCATGTAAATAGAGTGCTTTTCGTAGTTTGTAAGTGCTTTGCGTTGATTCGTGCTTCGACACACGAACGAATGAGATGCAGTTTTTCTTTCAGGTTTTGTAGATATGAGTTTTTATATGACAGAAGAATTTTTAATTCCTTTTATGCAATATTATAAGGAAAGAAATGCGCCTGTGCTTCTTACGATACAAAATACATTTTGTACAGTTTGAATTTTTTCAATGTGCAATAGTCGAACTGAGTTTATGCAAATATCTAATCTCAATGAACTCTTTCGAGACTGCTGTCTCGAAAACCCCCCCAGTGCCTTGTTTCAGGAATACATTAAACTGTATTCAGTTTGACTGTGTACACTCTACTGTTGCAACACATCATCTAACGACTGACAAAATTAATGTTGATAAGATATTTTCACGTAACACTAGTACATTAAGAATTACAGAGCGATATTTGTGTTGGTGCTTGTTTTCAAGTATTCTGACAAAAAGTAATTTTGCGTTCGATAAAACGAGCCTGTTGCGGCACAAGAAGCAGCGACTTCAAAGCAAGCACCAAAGGCTATTGTTAACCATTGCTGTTTTCACTCACAATAAAAGTAGAGTCAATTATTATTGTTGTTCGCATGCGCGACTGTTTGTAATAAAGGAATAAACAGATTTTTATGTTATTTATTGTACATCTTCAAAATAACGATGTATTGACCCAGTATCATCGCAAACTTTCAACAAAATTTCTATTTCGTGGAAATATTTATTTATGAAAAATATATCGTATTTAATCAGCGCCTTCATATTCTTAATGATTTTTTTTCCGACGATGAAATTTGCGAATTCGTCATCCCTAATTGAAATTGGAGCGCAACGGGGTGGAAAGACGACGTTTTCGAGGGGATAGGCAATAGGGGTGGATAAGTACGTGATCGGCTTCGAGCGCGATATTCTTTTTTTTTTGTAGGTAACTACCTCATAGAAACCGTATCATTGATATGGATGAGGCGTTCTCTTCGTCTCGTCGTGATGCTCCGTTTAAAAGATAAGTCAAATAGATTCGCAACTCGTCGGAGGGTACCGCTTTTCACTCGGCTAAGGTTTCTTTGTTATGTCGATCGATATCTCAGAAAGTCAATCTAGCGAGAGATAGCGTTTATCGCCACCTTTAACCTTTCACGCTAAACGGAGAAAAGAATACTCTCCAAGAAGGAATACGGTTTCTTTAAATTGCACGGCTTTGCTCATGCCGGGAGATTAGATAAACACATTCTTAGGTTTTAAATAACCTTTTTTATATAATATCAGTTTATCAATTAATTACACAATTAATATGTAGCATTATATGTAATTCTGCGTATAATATGATGTCCCAACACATTTTATTGTTAAATAAATAAATTAAAAAAAAGATCTTCCCTTAAAAACATTTATAGAGACGTTCACAAAGTGTCACATCTTATTAATAAACCGTGTTAAGCAATAAATAATATAGAGTGCAATAACAGAGCAGAACAATTTTATAGCAAGGCGAGTTATTTAAAATGCTTGTTGAGAAAATACCGCCAGCACTAGCTGTTTTACATGCTAAGAAGAAGAAAGCGTCGAGCAGCTGCGACGGATATTGCGAAAGTTTTTAATCTGTTGGCATTCTCCGAAACATTGGAGCGTTGGTCAAAGCCCCGGTTTTCGCTCAATACAAAAAGTTTCTACTGGCGTTTATGCAGAGAGTTACGCGTACACACGTACAGTGTTCATTTCTGCGTCAAAATGTCATTGCCTCACCTTTGTTGCGTCGCATTTGCGTGCGAGCAATCTACGCACGGTCACGGCCGCGGTATGAAATATTCAGAGTGGCTCGAGCGTTAACCGATGACCACTCTTTGGTTTGCCTCCTTTGTGCGCGTTCATGAGGGGTGCATCTGCATGCAGATCGAACCTGCATCTAGAAGCGGGCTTATTCGTTCTCGCAGAGATAATACGCACGCCCTCGTTCGTTTGGTATTCTAAAAAGCGGCTGAGCCCTTTTGCGTCTCCTTGTCATGCAATATTCAAAATTTCGCAAGAGCGACGAAGAACGAGACCAAGTTTGCGCGCTCTGCTGATAGACAACAACCAGTTACAGGACGATTTTTCACGTATGGATAATTGCTGAAATTAATTAAAGTTATGTGAATATTTTTAAGCACTTTTTATATTAATTTCGCTACTTGGACAAAGAATTAATTGTGAAACAAATTTTACAATAAATTCTTACTTGAACCTGGAACCTGGAAATGTTAGTTTCTAAATCTGAATATACAGGGTGATTCAAAATAACTTGATGTCCTTGCAATGCCATATTCTTGAGCAAATTCTGAGACAATGTTTCCTTTTACAAAATTTTGTCCAAAGCTTAGTTTTCGAGTTATAATTGAAAATAGATAGCAACTTACGAGTTCGGTACAACGGGCATGCAGGGACGCGCAACGTGTAATGAGACTGTCAAGTGTTTACTATCGTCTCATGACACATTACACCGTCCCTGTCTGTTCGTTGTATCGGACTCATAAGTAGCAAACTATTTTCAATTATAACTCGAAAACTAAACTTCGGACAAAATTTTGTAAAAGGAAAAATCGTCTCAGAATTCGCTCAAGAATATGGCATTGCAAGGACATCAGGTTATTTTGAATCACCCTGTATATCCATTACTAATAAAATTAATATTGAAATACATATGTAAATAATAAATACACAAATTCTTATTTTATATTTTTTTAAAATTTATTTAAAAAGTAGATGTTCCAAGAATATTACATTGCACCCATTTTTTAAATCAATTTTGAGTCATTGTGTTGAATTTAGCAAGTCAAGAAGTTTTTTGTTTGATCACCTATTACATTATTTCTATTCAGTCTCATTTAAATAAGCAAAAGGATACAACTTTTCTTTCTAATTTATTCAAAATTAGTATACATAATTTGCTGTATCTTAAACTGTCGACTTGCTCAATTTTATATCATTATAAAATTAATATGATGTTATCGCGGATTCATATTTTGTTGACGATCTACAAAACGCCGACCCTCGATTATCTATGCGAATATATCACGCAAATTGCAACCGTGTTTAGAATAATTGATTTTATTTTACTCTTCGCGTTCACCCAACATAATTCACCCGGAGGCCATCATCGATGGAATAATTAAATGACCTCGCGAAAGGAAAATGAAACACGATTATGCAAATGTTATCGAAATAGCTGGGAGAGCATCTCAACGATTGCTTCTAATCGATTGTGCTCATTTTCTCTTTTGCATTTAATAACATTTTCTCGCAATCACTAACATTCAACAAATATCTGTTTATTCACACCGTTTCGCAAAATATTTAATCAAGTGTATTATATTATTTCAGAAAAAAATCATGATACAAAGGAACTCTTATTTTTATTTTATCACGCTGCAGCGTGATTGACACGCCGAAGAGACGCGTGTTTTATCGCTGAATATTTTTCCGCGTTATCTATCGAGCTCCAGCAGCTGGTAGCTGTTATTACAGCCGCTTCTAACGTTCCCCCATCATCATCAGAAATTCCATAACAGAAGGCTGCGTTGAAAGCAACATCACGACGCATTGATGATTGGTCTTATCTTTTTCCGAGACGTCGACAGAATTATCACTGTTATTAACTAGAGATAAGGTATATGTCGAAAAGAACCACGTATTATTAAACGTAAATTGTAATAAAAAAAATCACGTTATTATTTTTCAAAGTAACGATAAGTACAATTTTACGATGTCACTTTCGTCGAAGATATTTATGTTTCAAGGCAACATTATGCGTTTGCTGTACTTTATCTCTAAAATTGTTAGATCTCCTGCATCTTGCGCGGCTTGGAGCGCTTAAGAAAAAGTTTTTCATTGTAACAGGATAATCGGATGGCTGAGTATCCATAGGGATGGCGAGCACAGGCGCGCTCGTCTTTGGGCAGGGATGGCGCGAAACGTACAATGTTTCACGGTTAAATAGTTCGATTGTGCCTTCGGGAAAGGGGGCGCAATGTTCGCCTCGGTGAACATTGCGCCCCCTTATTAAATCCTCCCTGCTGATTTATATTTTCTTACTTTCCGCCTTCCTATCTGGGCTTATGGAGCGGAGATTCGCGGGAGAGATTTGATTGCGAGATCGTCTGATCTGATTACCTGCTTCGCGGAGTATGACTCGAATCTCGCGCACTCGCGGAATTATGTAGCCTTACCTGTCAAAATTGAATATTTTCAGTTGGACGTGACGGTGCTACAATTTCCGGCCTCCTCCACATGCTTGTAATAACATACGCGCAACAATCGGTATGCAGATACCGCTTTGTAAATCATGAGACATTCGAAATTTATTTTTTATTTTATATATATTGCATAATTGTATTTCTTTGTGTATTTGTAGTTCTTTTTGTATTTAGAGTTCGTTGAATAAATGATGTAAAAAATATACAGATAAGTGGAGGAAAAGTAGATGATTTTGTGTCCACGTTGCCGATAAAGCGACCTGAATGTCCGATCGGAAGCAATCCTAAAATATTCTTGGCGAAGCAAGAAAGGGTTATTCTCTCCGATAGAGCTGCAAATCCCAGTGTTTTTCATTATTTCCCCTTTTCTTCCCTGTCTCTCTGCCAATCTCTCTTTCTCTTTCCCTCCGTTTCTTGTTATCCTATGTTTCCCTCGCCACTCATCTCGTTCTCTCTTTACCTTTTAATTAACTAACTGCGTTTGTATTGTAACTAAAGAGGATCTTTCCGATTCCAGAGGTTTCCACGAGCGATCAAATAATCCATTTCGTCTCGTGAAAGGCTAAATAAGATTATCGAGTCACGTTTCAGCGGGCGCTGAAAGATTGCGCCTGCTAAACCTTTTCGAGTTTCGAACTCGATGAGCAATTGGACGACTTGTGAACAAACTCCGAAGACAAAGTATACAGTCTCACAATCAATTATTAAACTTTTGATAAGATTGTGTTATTATCATAAGTTACGGCATTTTATGAATGTTGCACGTGCAGAAAATAATTATCTACTATAATAATTCTTAAAAACTGCAAAAATACGTACACCTTGAAAGAGGACTTAAAATATATTTGTTTCAAATTGTTAGAAAGTTTAGTCTTCTAATATGTATGTAATATCACAGTTTTTGTACCTTTGTTGTTTTAAGACATGTTCTAAGACTGAAAGACGGAAAGTTGCGGCTGCCTGCCGCTATCTTACGTAAACTCCAAAACTTTAAATCCCGTTTTCTCTAAACGATACTTTTACGCGAAACTGCTGGCAAGATAAATCACCAGTAGAGACTCGGAGAGAATTACAATTCAGACAGAGAATGCCGAAAATACCATCCTCCACTGTACAAATCACCGACGTTAATGAAGGAAATATGTAGTAAATAAAATGAAATTCATTCGCTACTGATTTTCTATGATCATTTTTATGATTCACTGATTAATTCACTTCGCTGAATAATTGTAATTTAATGACACTTGGTTATAATATTTTTCAGGTTTTTGGTTATAACTTTTTTTTTTTAAATATCTCTTCATACTTTTCTCTTTGAGTAAAAATTACGTATGCACAGATATATGTAAAATACACTCTGCTTTATTTTTTAGTTCTCTTGCCTTTAAATTCCTGTCATAATTGTTATTATTACGCTTTTCCTTCGCTGAATATATTTATCTTAATAAACCGAATTGTATTCCAGTCTTACGTTATCGCTTGAGATTGCAAAAATGCGTAAATTAATCCTTCTAGAATTTGTGCCCAAGAAGCTTTTAACGTGACGAGACATCGAGTCAAAAACTTATGAACGTCCCTGAAGGATTAATGCCGAGAACAATGAAGACTGACTCTCTGTCTCTCCGCTTTCATAAAGTGACACCTCGTCCGTCCGAACTAATTACTTTCGGCTTAAAATCCTTAATTTGTTGCTGAAAGACCGTTGTCGGGTAAGGCCGGCTCTTCTCGATGAAGTCTCTCTTTGTCCGCGCTGTAAACGTTGCTTCGGGACGATAATTGGTTCTGGATCCATTAAGAGCCCGCGAGGAAAAAAAACATACAAGAACGGATATTTCAACAACCAGCGGATAGGAACATTATTATGCCGTGTCTAGACACTGCAAACGATGCTCAGAATAAACCGAAGGTCAAGTTCACTGTCAGCAAAACACAATTCGTGCAATATGATATCATCTATTAGTTTTAGCAGCGCTACACGCTAGAGTGGGATGTTAATTGTTGATGTTTTCTAAGAATACTTTAGCTGAGAACTGGTTTTCCGTTTCCGCTTTACGTAACTTCCGCTTTGTTTTCCATCAGCTGTTATTAAATGTAAAATTAAATGCCCGATTCAGATGATGAATTCCTCGAATGCCTTTCTAGGAGAGCAGCCACGGTCGCGCCTCGTCAAGCTATGATTTCATCGAACTAAATATAACGCGTGATAAATATACATGCAGGATCCTTTTAACTGCGGCTGACATGAATCTTGATAAAATTCTCCGCTATCTCCGACAGTCTGGAAATTAGCCCCTCACCCGACGACGTTTCCTGGCACGTTGCGAAGAAGGAACCCAGCTTGATATTGAATTGTTTCTGCACCCTTTCCGTAGCGCACCGGGGGACTCGGCAACAGATGTACTTGATACATATTCATATCCGCTTTTCCGTGACTACGTGTTATTGTTACTGTTATTATTATTCCATGGATGCGCAATTTGCCCGCAACTGTTTTAAATAAAAAAAAAAAAAAAAGAAACAAAAGGAGAAAATCTCTTTCGGCGTTGCTTTCAACTTTGGAAAAGCGCGCGCGCTCTTCCGCAATTTTTATTTTTGTCGTTACGATTTTTAATGCGATACACCGTGAAACGTGGTCGTAAAAGCCAACGTGGAAAAGTGCACGGCGAAGCCGCAAAGTCTGGAAACTGGAAGCTCTTTCGCCGGCTTTACGTTGGTGATAAATTTTTATTTTTATTGTCGTTGCAATTTTCGACACAACTTCGTCGCTCTTGTCATCGTCCGCTGATCCGATAAACCGCGCAAGAAAAGAGAGACGTACGTTTCGGTATGAACAACAGCAAAGGCAAGTAACGCTCGCGGCAACTCAATATGCTTGTGTATCTACGCAAAACTGTAATTTTTGCTTAATAAATTTATATTCTTTATTAAATTAAATATTTCAATTCTGTATTAAATATATTAATTTTTCTAGCTTCTTTGTTTAATTTTCATCTAGCAATTCATTGAAATAAAATTTCTCCAACAGATCTGTTTAAAGAATTTTAAGAAAAATGACACTAAAGATAACAAAGTTTGTAACAAAATGCAAAATCGCAAAGGTATCGAGAAAACAGAATAAGTTGCAAATATTGAAAGAAATATATGCAAAAAGATTGATACATAAAAAGTTCTATTTACCGTCTCCACCCTCTTGCCGTTCTGAAATCTCTACTTCCCCAACAGAAAACGTCAGATTACGCTTCTCCTGCAGACAATGTAATATCGATTATATACCTCGCTACGAGGATCACATCATTAAGTCACTTAACGCTAAATTTCCGACAATTCCTTTATGCCACGTGGGTCCACGGAGAGCAACGTGGGTCAGTGTATTATGGAATATCTATTACTTCGACGGCCACTTCGGCACGGGCTTTCCACGGACGCGATACTTAAGATGAATTATTGCCGTGGCTCTTTATTAAAGACTAATGCGGGAGCAGCGGCCGGGTCCGCGGGTGACTTCGTATCCCGAGAATCCCTTAATCTGCGCGATCTATTATCCCACCGGCGGTACACCGGGGTGAGAATTAGCCCTCTCCCGTTCGCCCGTACGAACGCGCCGGTCGTAGTTGAATTATTGCTGGGCATAACTGGAGCCGAAGTGGGCCACCGCCGCCGCTGCCGCCGCCGCCAGCGTCGTAAAAGCCGGCACCCAAATGTTTCGCTGATAATGCGATTCCACGGCGAAATTACTCGGCGTAACAGCGAGATCGGCGCCGCCGATCGGGAGAGATTCGCTTTCACTTCGTTGGTGGGCGGCAAAAAGCGGCTCCGTGATTTCGCGAGATGTCAGAAGAAAGAAAGAGAAAGAAGGCAGGACCGGAGATGGGTGGGATCGGAGCGCTTGGTGTGGGAAAAAGAAGAAAGAAAACGAAGGAATTTTCGTGTTATCTCGAGCGTGTCACGCGGCGCTGCGTGAAAAAAAATTTTATCTCTCTTCTTTCCTCCTTTCTTTATCTTCTGCCTTTGATTTCTCTCCGTCTTTCTTCTCCGCGAAGAGCAACCACTCCGCCCATTAGATATGAATTATGTATGAGAGAAAACGTAAAACTTTATGACGTATATATACGGCCCACGCGCCAGGCGGTGTGAAGAAGCGTCACGCAGAAATCCGCGAATCTATTATACGCTTTTTAATTAGACGCTGCCGAATCTGACGGATGAGATCCGGTATATTCTCAGGGACCCTCTTCGCCATTCGGCGAGGGAAGCCTCTTATCGTAAGAAGTTGGGGGAGAGTGGAGTATATATAGCAAGACTTCCGTTTATGTAGTATCTTGATAATTATGTGATGTTATAATGGTATACTTAGAATAAATCGCATTATATTCCATAGGAATTTATTAAAAAATTTATTAAAAAATATTCTAACAAAAAAAGGATTGTCTATTAAAAAAATGTATGTGTTATTGTAGTCATAAAATAACAATAATTTCATTATTATTTTCAAAATATTTATACAAACTTTAATAAAATACTGATCAATTATTTCAATCTTATCGTTTCATAAAAAAAATCGACGCATCTCTCAAGAGATTTTTTATTTTTTTGCCATTAATAAAAAGATAAAAAAATGATAACAACATTATACTACAAATACTATTTATTTTAAAAAATTTCCTAATATTTTAACCTATTAAATGGATAATTTCTGGACCAAAAACAGTGCCTATTAAAAATAACTTCCGTCTTGTCTACAGAAAATACGAGTGCAGCTTAATTTATTTCTGATATGTTATAAATTAAAAAATTGTTGCAATAAATTAACTTGTGTCTATTATAAGGTCATTTGTGCAAAAAATGAATTAACTTGTCGTTTAGTTAACATTAAAAACAGTGTCTCACAGACTAATATTTTGTAAAGCTAAACATCACGAAATTATTTTAATGGGGTGATTTTTTGAATAAAGCGCGTATTCAAAAAAATTCCACTGTTCTACAGCTTCGTGCGGGCGTGTTAAAAATGTTATTGGCAAGTGGCGCCGCGACGCCAGGGCGCTTTTGCACCCCGATTAGTTCGTACAATCTAGCCAGGTGCAAAACAACGTGTTAAGACGAACGGAAGGAAAGAAAAGCGAGACAGGGTGAGTAGACCGCAAAATGGCCGAGACTATGGGGTATTTACGAGCGTGGAAAGTGGCCGACGAGTACCTTTTCGCACGTTGATGAATGGCTCCGGTCGCCGTCGCCGTGTTTTATGGAAGGTAAGCAACCGACGGTAGTGGAGATATTGTTATTGAGATGAAAAGAAGTGGGGTCGTCACAATCGATGCCACCTTGAACGTCTTATAACATTTATCTACCGCTTCATGCGATGATTTATGTTCTTGGCGTCTTATATATCTTGCGAATATAATTATATTCGACCGAGAGATGGATTACAATACAAAAAACAACAAATTTATTTATCATCACGCTCCATAAAGACGTGTTGAGGAAAAAGAGGATTATTTATGGAGAAGCGCAATTGTGCACATCGCATCGTCCTGACTTGTAAAATAATTTGGTATTGAAATTAATCCCCGCAGTTCTTATACGATTCACTCGCGCATAATTGTGAAGTACGCTTTTCACGAGAGAGACACAAGTGAAATCTTAAAGCTGGATTAAATAGCGCACTGCTCAGGCTGGAGAATGAAGAGAAGCCGAGAAAGCGTGATGAAAAGAGTATCAATGTATAACACGCGGCTGAATAGCGAGAAAATTCGAGTCAGCACAACCCTTACGTTGTCATGGTGCAACAGCCGTTGCTAGGAAGTGTTTGTAATAGTGAAGCACCCACAGTGGCTTTCACGAAGTACAATTCTCACTTAACGAGATACATTCTTCTTCTTGCATAATAAAAAATCTTCCAATTGGAAATATATAAAATATTAAATGCAATAAAATTAAATATTAATGTGGATAAAATTGATATAATAATAGATAAAAATTAATAGACAAGTTAAACTTTAAAACGATACGAACAAGTAACTAAATTTGAATTATATCAATATTTTTGTTTTATGAATAAAAAAAGATCTGAAAACATTAAATGTTTTGTATTTGCATAAATGATGCAACATCTGTTTTTAACGTCGTCATCTCGTTTGATAAATATTTCCATATCGTTATCGTTTATTCTCAACCAATCGTCATATCATTTTTGTTACCTTTATTACTAATTTTTACACACATCTTTTTTCATGTATAGTCACCAAGTTTTAGTGAATAGTTGATGTAGCTAATAGAAACAAATATACCCAAGATCGATAAATACGTTCGTGTAATGTAATGCTATTTTTTTCTGTAATTCTTTAGATATATGTAATCTCTTCCATGCAATATTCTATATTAAATGTATAAAAAACATAATTTTTTATAATTCTACTCGAAATGTATAGACATTTCTTTTCTTTTTTTTCTTTTTTTTTTTTGCTACCTTATCGTGCGATATGACGAGAATTCGAAATGACACGGGAACGAGAAGATAAAATGTCGCTTGATGGGGCAGTAGATATCGAAGAGAAAGACACAACAAGTGTAGAAAAAAGTAGAAGAAGAACGTACGCGCCAGACATCATGATGAAACGCCATCGGAAGTGGTAAGATTTCATCGCAATAGGAGCATTCGAGAATGGCAAAAAATTTACTCAAAATGGAGCTAAGGAAAATTTATAACTGTAAAAAATGCTTAAAAAATAAAATTCTATAATATAAATAAATAAATATATCACAAATAAAATTATGTATTGTAAAAATTTGTGCCACAATACTATTTAAACTACGAATTACTAAGAAAAAGTGCTAGTCAAACTATTAAATTATTTCAATAATAACGAATTATTTAAATTTTGTTGTATTTTAATCTTTTAAATTAAAAATAAAAATGTATGGAACTTGCGTTAAAAACTATCAGTTTACTTGACATTATCAACGAGTGAAAAATAGTGGCATAAAAATCATTTCATTATAAAAATCGGAATTATCTACATAGAGGAAATGCTAGAAATATGCGACAAGAAAAAGATAACGCAAGAGGAAGCACGATAACTGCTGAGAGACAAGCCATGTCAGCATAATCGAGGATATTTCCGCTGGCCCTCCGATAGTTCTCTCGACTCTTGCCGCAAACGACGGTATTGGTAGGGTTTTAAGAAAGATAGCAGCGCGAAAAGTCCGCCTTTTCGAATAATATCCGAATATTGAGGCATTGTACGAGGACTGTCGCGATCGTAAAGCAGGGCTGATATGAATGCGGATAGCTCAATTTTACACGCTTACGCACATCCCAAGCGAGCCTGCCCTTTTTTCTCCCGTCTCCCTCTTTCTCTCCTCCCCCTTTTTCATCGTCTGTCATGCATCATTCTCATTGATCGCATCTATCAACTCTTGTTGTGATGCAAAAGGGTGCAAACTATTCTCGTGGGTGCCATTATCTATTTTTTAACTTGAATCTTGCGTTGTGCGAACACTGTGTTGTGCAAATGCATTTTTATTTATATATTAATAATTTAAGAAACTGTAATAAACATACTGTAATTATATGTTATTCATTATATTCTTGAAAGTTACAAATCGCCTTGTTTTTAATATTCCAATATCAATTTTATTAAAACAAGCATAATACCTAAGAGTTTTTCATATATTTTTTTAGGAATATAACATTGAGATTCTCTCTGTTGCGAAAAGAGTGTAGAAGAATGTCCGATTCAGAAGGTAGCATAGCAAGCCTACACGGCTCGGAAAAGTCAACAACACGCGACGAAACCGTCGATGCGATGCCGACTCAACAGAATCACAATGGTGACAAGCCTGAAGAATTCGAGAAACTGTTGCAATCGATGACAGTCCCCCGCAATATTTCTGACGACGAAGAACAGGTAGAAGAAGAAGATAATGCAAACGAAAAAAATATCGTAGGTACGTCGTTGTATATTAATATTGCATAACTGTTGTAATAAATAATACATTACGTATTGTAAAATGTAAATTTTTTCTTCAAATTGATCGAATGAGAATTTTTATTTATCTTTATGTATATTTTATATTTTGCAGGGATTTTCTATTTTCTTTTAACTTATATACTTCGTAGAAAAGCGTTATAATTTATTGTGTGTGCATGGTGCTTTTCAAAAGTTAAAGAAATTGTCTGGAAATATTCAATTTTATTTATCGCGCTTAAATTTGTGGAATATAATTTTACATAGTTGTACCAATCACAATTAATAAATGCACTTATTGTTCAATGTATTAATAAATAAATATTTTGCTAGACCAGCGATTACTAAAATTTCAGCAGATAAAAAGGACCGAGCGACTTTTGAAGCTTCCAATATTTCTATAAAATCGGGAAACGTAATTCACGTAACATTGTCGAAAGTTGCTCTCCACTTTACGGATAAAAATGAGTTTCTGGGTAAAATCAAACTTTGTATCGACAAATCCGTCAACGCCATAAGAACGCGTGGCATAAATGTTTCGTCCTCGTGCATTTCCAAGCTCCCGTCCGCCAATTCGAACGACAACGCCGAGAGGCACGGGGATGAAGTTGCATCGTCGGAACTCGGGTAACCTGTTGAGAGATTCTGGAGTGGGCGAAAATGGAGAGCTTGCTGCAGCTTAACTTGGAGAATTTCCCAGACGCCCGCCAAGGGCATTACCAAAGAAAGTGGCTGAACAGCGGTAGACGGCGCGAAGGAAATTTTTCCGGCCCCAGGGATTAAGTTCCGCCGCTAGAATCGTCTCGCTCTTTTCCTTTCCGTTTTCCTTTCCTCCCCTCGCTCCCCTCGCGTTTTCGGCTTTTATTTTTATTCCGCTTTCGTGACCGAACACTCGTGAGAGCGCAGATGCTAACTGGAAGTTTGGCGATCTCGCTGTCCCTCGGTTTCGAGTAAATTAGCTCTTCTTGCCCCGTAATTTCGCACTTTGCTTTATTCCCGACACGCTGCGACCGGCTTTGTCCGAAGGTTCACTCGCGAAAAAAGGTCTATTACGTGCGCAAGTGGGATTTAAAGGACAAGAGAAAGCGACACCGTTTCTTTCAGTCATTGAGCGCAGGCGCGTCCGCGTGAAATCGCCAATTATTTTAATTGCGACCGGTCGAAAGAGGATTTACGCACGCGTATAATCCAATATCCAGATCGCAGAATCGGCAGGCTACTGCCAATTCTATTACATAATTGCACCGCGACTATCTCGGTTATACACAGAACGTCCTAAGTACCTCGGCGAACTTCGCCAGCATCGAAATTCATACACACGATGAAGGAGGAGCCGTCTGCGTCCCAAATTAAACTCATAAAATCCCCACGGCCGCTTAAAGGTAAATCCACAAGGGTAGATTAAGATCGAGCCATCTGTGTACAAAAGGAAAGAATAATGCAGAGCCGTCGGCGTATTAAAACCAGCTCGCCCGCGCAATTGCAATATCACTTTTAGAAGTAATTAACGGTATCTCTAAAAGATAATCAGAAAAACACAAGATTTTGTATATTCAGTATCGTAAAGAAGGAAATCTAATGTAAGTAAATTTGATCCCGCGTTTCTGATGCCAGATTCGGCGAGATTTTCGCGAAGAAAGAAAAAAGAATATTTTGGATCGATACTATTTTTGTTATCACGATCGAACGATTGCGCGCGAGCATCGTGTTCGCTGTGAATGTACCCTGTCTTGGTCGCTGCAGTGATAAGTGTTTCACGACGTTACCATCCTCCCACGTGGAGACACGTGGTCGGGCGCGGGGAACTAATATTATGATTAAAATAATAAATTCCGGAGATACGTGCGGACGCTTTAGCCAAAATTAGTGTTGCATCGAGCGTGGCACCGCACGACGGCGTTACCGGGCTGCAAAGGACGGTACCTTGAATTATAAATGTTAGACTAAGCGCGAGAGTGCTCTTTAGCGTACATCGTTTGAGTAAGAAGACCTTCGAGGGGGAGAGAAGGGGTGAGATTTTATTAGGGTAACATTCGTTAGGCGTGTCTCCGGGCAACGTTCCAATTCGATCTCACGGTCCGTTTCATTCCTGTGGACTGCAGATGTACATTAGACGGACGAAGGTTGGATAAGAGATTTTTCAACGTTCCCGAATCCTTGAACGCAATTGAACATCGATTGAATCCAATCGTTTGCTTAATATCCCAATTCTACTCTTGATATCTTGATTTTGCTGAATTGTTTAATTCTTAGCTCGATAAATCAATTCTCTCAAATATGAATAGATTAGTCTTAGCACTATAGATAATAAGCATGATTAATAATTAATTATTTACATTACTTTTCTCTTTAATTTGCCGTAGATTTTATATAGATTTAGCCACATTACGAAATAATTGCATTATTTTATCATCCGTATTTTCAATGAAAGACATATTTTATATCCTACACATGTTGTAATCACATGTAGAAAAAATGTTCACAGTCTTGTATATTCACGCTCCAAAAGGCGTTAACATAAAACGAGAAATAGCATATCTCGCGCGACGTCGTATTGCAGTGCAAATAACATTGCGAGTCTTGTTGCGTTCTTTATGCACATCCGATGTGCTGCATATTTTCCCGCATTGGATCAAATCTCGATGTAGCTTCGTCGAAAAATATAAATGTATTTCCCGAAGCTTTCAAATGCGAGTCTTCCGCCGTTTCCATCCAAAAGAACTGGCACGTAGATCGCAATATGCGATTCCAGATTATCATAATGTCGACTGTCAAGGCTGTGTATATGCTTTCGCGCGAGCTTGACATCTTTTTCCCTCCGTCGCGCGACGCGCTTTAAGCTCCCCCGAAAAGTTTCAACGGATTCGCCAGATGTTCCGCGTTGCACCTTCTCGCCGAGATGGTCCCCTCTGCGCCGTAGTTGGCACTCGATTATCGCGGATCGCGTTCATAGACGTTCACACTTATTCTTTTGATTTATACGGTCATTTCTCGAATTACAACGAAAACGACGTAATGTAGAGTTCGCTAAATAATGACAGGACAGGCAACAAGAACCAGAAACGCGATTGTCGGAGCGTAAGAATAATTAATTATAATTAATTAATGTATAAAAAAGTTTCGGTCATAATTTTACGGAGTTTGCCACCAAGAAATAATGTAATTGTTATATCAATTTGTTACGACAACAATCGCCGATTGCTAGAAACAATCACTGGCAATAAATATTATTGAGAAATATATTCGTGACGAAATATAAACTCTTAAACATGACATGTAGCACCCGACACATTTTTATTCTGTGATAACGATATTCTAATAGATTAAATCAATAATTAATTTTAATTTATAAAAATTTATTTTATCTATTAAAAGCGCACATTATCTATTGCTTCAATTTTCTCATGAAATGGCTGATAATTTATAGGCGACACGATATTGAAACGATAGTGAAACGATTTCTCAAGAGAAATGTATACAACGTCAAGTTCATGTCTTTTGATATTTCCTGGCGCACTTTTCGTCTTGACGACGCCGACGCGCGCACCATCAAGATCCCATTTCTCGCAGCCGTAACTACCACCTCGCGTTCGAAGAAAATTGGAAAACGCTCGCTACCGGGGACGAGAAATATTCCTTTCTTCCGCGCGCGATAACGGAAGGGTAGGGAAAGCCGTAGAAGTTTCAAAAGCGACGCTCATCGTATCGCTGCACACCGCGATGGTGTGGGTCGCGCGTGTGAAAAATGACATCAAGTTCAAAAGCTCCCTAAATAAGAAACCACTCTCTCGTGAGACGCGGGCGCGCGCGCGCGCGCGCGCCTTCGTATTATTCACTCGTCCGAAAACTCTAAAGTGAAATAACCGCGTAGCGGGTCGCGGAACACTCGATCATCAATTTCAACGTCAGGCCCGACAAAAACGGGAAACGCTCCGCGACGCCGACGCGCAGAGGAGGCGTCGCAGTCTTGTCGGATGATCTGTTTCGCGAGGACGCGCGATAATCCGCGCGGTCGGTTTGTTAGAACGACGGAAATCGCGGGAGAATGACGAATGGCTGGCAAGACAAATTTTCTCGAGGGGTAGATAGCGTCAGGAATCATTTTTTTTTACCGCGCGCAAATTGTTTCGCGTCGGAGAGAAGATCTCGGAAGGCTATCTTTGCGGGGAAAAAAGAGACAGCCCCTTAAATTGAATACGAATCCCGAAAAGACAATTAAGTCGCTCTCGAACAAAGATATCATATGACGTGGCGTATCAACTCGGTTTTACAGAATTTGTCACTTGCGTCCCTTCGTATGCGAGCCTCTCGATTGTACATGGAAGCTCCGCAGTACAAAGAATATATGAGAAAACTCTTGGTTGTAACGACGCATTTACCGTCCTCGTTCCGGATGCTGGTCCGTGCCGCTCCAATTTCCGCGACCACCCAGCGAGGACAAATTTTTTTTTTTTTTCGCACACCCCCGGCAACGAGACGGAGGGTGCGGGGGGGGCGCGAAGGATGAAAAGGTGGGAAGGAGGCGGAGTAATTTGATATGGTGGGCCAGAGTACGGGGGCACTCGCCCTTTTTTTTCCTAATTTGAAGAAGGGCGAGTATCCGCGAAATGAAAAGCGTCGGGGCCCTTTGTAGATGCGCGCGTACGCGCCCCGCACAAAGTCGCGCGTGTGCGTGCACGTGCGTGTGCGAGGATTAAAGCGATGAAAGAGAAACTCTTCGCCCCCATAGCGCAAGCGGCGCGCTCGATCGGGCACACGGCAGCCGAATCTGCCATTTTTAATACGCTCATTTGAAC